GACGGGACGGGGGCCGAGCGCGGGAGGCCGTGCCCGCTGGGCTCGCACCTCCTGCTTTGCGCCGTTTAAGCTGTAATTTAACAACTCTCTGTGTTCATCTTTCCTTGCGTGATTTGAAATCTTTAATTCTCTAAAGTTGCCCACTAGAAAAGTTCAATTCTTAAAGTTGTCCACTACATAAAGGGAGTTCCCCCTATATCTGTATTTCTTAATCATGTCCATTTCAAAAGCTTGCGATGCTAATTATTCAAAAGCAAGGGTTTGGGGGGTTTTTTGGCCATTCTTTGTTTCAGACCTACAGAATGGGTTTGGCTATCCAACTTATTTACATATTTTTTCTTGATTTTTTAAAAACTTTTTACTGCTCCAGGTTTTGTAAAGATTTCTTATTTTTATTTAGCAAGGGCACCCCTTTCCTGTTTACAGCTTTGAGATGATCCCTTGCTTATATATATATACCTCAGTGGATTCACCACTCTTTGAGATGGCATCAGTAAATTGCGTAACTGCCCTCTTCCACAGCACATTCAGGCATTATTAATGGAGGAGAATACAGGTCTCCTGTCAAGTAATTTCTGTGCAGGCTTTCACGTATTTGCAGTCATATCAAATCCAGCCCTTTCCCTTTCTGAATCTCTGCGGTTGTATTACAAAGTGTGTTTCCTATTGAAGAAAAAGGTACACTAGAACTTACTGCTGGGGAGCCTTGAGATCTTTTTCATTAGAAGAAGTCCAGTAATGCAGCCCTTGCTGACTCCAGTTTACCTGTTCAGCTCTGCATGACAGAACTTTGTCTTACTAGGTTTGTCTATTGAATACACCTATTTTGAATGCATTTTAGCAGCTGGATGAAACCGATGCCCATGTGAATACATTTGTGACTGTGACATGCAGTTAAACTAGCAGATGATCTTAAACTGTTTATCATTTGTGACATTGTTTTGCCTTCCTTCTGTTAACTCTGGGCTTTGTGCCTCTTGTTCTCAGGGCTGCCGTTTCTGAGGCTGTGCAGCAGCGCCCGGCAGGCTGCGGGGCCAAGGAGCTGCGGGGCAGCCGCTGGCTTTGCGCTCGGCGTCACCGTCCGGTGGCCGCTGGGGAAGCGGCGCCCAGCTGGGCACCATGAGCTCCGGCACCACCGCCCCGCTGAAGGTCGTCAGCAACCTCGCCAACACTGATGTCAACTATGTCATCAAAGAGCATTATAATTACACAGGGAAGCTAAATGAGAATGCGGACAGTGGAATAAAAATGACGTCGGTGGTTTTTATCATCATTTGCTGCTTTATAATCTTAGAGAACATTTTTGTCTTGCTCACCATCTGGAAAACCAAGAAGTTTCACAGACCCATGTACTATTTCATTGGGAACTTGGCTCTTTCAGACTTGTTGGCTGGTGTGGCTTACACTGCCAACCTCCTGCTATCCGGACACAAAACCTATAGCCTCACCCCCTCCCAGTGGTTTGTAAGAGAAGGCAGCATGTTTGTTGCCTTGTCAGCTTCTGTGTTCAGCTTGTTGGCCATTGCCATTGAGAGATACATCACCATGCTGAAGATGAAACTGCACAATGGCAGCAACAGCTTCCGCTCCTTCTTGCTGATCAGTGCTTGCTGGGTTATCTCCGTGATACTTGGGGGACTCCCGATCATGGGCTGGAACTGCATCAGCCTCTTGTCCAACTGCTCCACCGTGCTGCCTCTTTACCACAAGCACTATATTCTCTTTTGCACCACCGTTTTCACTGGCCTTTTGCTATCTATTGTTGTCCTCTATTGCAGGATCTACTCCATGGTGAGGACTAGAAGCCGCAGGCTGACATTTCGGAAAAACATTACCAAAGCTACTAGGAGCTCGGAAAAGTCCCTAGCCTTGCTCAAGACAGTGATCATAGTCCTGAGTGCCTTCATTGCCTGCTGGGCTCCCTTGTTCATCCTGCTTTTGCTGGATGTGGGGTGTAAAGTGAAGAGCTGCCCAATCCTCTACAAAGCAGAGTATTTCTTAGTACTGGCCGTGCTCAATTCAGCCACGAACCCTATCATCTACACCTTGACGAACAAAGAGATGCGGAGGGCTTTCATCAAGATTCTGTGTTGCTGCAAATGTCCCCCGGCAGATTCTGGGACCAAATTCAAGAGGCCAATCATTGGAGGGATGGAGTTCAGCCGGAGTAAGTCTGACAACTCCTCTCACCCACAGAAGGAGGAAGGTGACCGTCCTGAAACCATCATGTCTTCGGGCAATGTGACCTCATCTTCTTAGGAGTAACCATGGGGGTGTATTTCAGACCCTTCCTCTGAAATTGGGGAGCTGAGGCGCCTCCTGCTCACTGCAGCAGTGCTGGGCTAAGTGAGCAAGTAGCATTAGTTCTAATGAGGAAAACGGTGCACTTGCGAGGCTGGAGTTCAAGAAACGGGACAGACTGTTCTGGCTTGAAAATCTTTTTCCCTGGAGCATGTTTTGTCTTTGCACTGAGGCAGCTCAGGATTGTCAGGCGCATTCATATCCTGAAGTCTCCTTAGTAACTCTGAAAGACTGATGCCTTGGTGAAATGATGCCTGGTGTGTGTGAGAGAAAGAGCGAGGGGGAGGAGGGAGGGAGAGAATGAATCTTTTTTTTTTTTTTTTTTCCATGTGAGAAGAATGTGAAGTTATTTCTCCTTTACTTGCAGCAAACCACTGACACAAAGATCTTTCTGTACTGAACTTGGTGGTGGCTCTGGTATAGTTGGTCAGAAGTGTTTGTTTAGCACATAATGAGGAAAGAGATCACACAAACATAACTTAGACCACATAACAACCATAATTTGGCATCACTTTTGAGAGTTTTTAATTAAGTTATAAGGTTTTATTTGAAGAGTCCAAAGCTGTTTGGGTTTTATTTAGCAAGATCATAGCTGTGAATTTTTGCTGTTGGTCCATGTTACATTTGAAGACCATGAGCCAGACTCTGCAGTTACTTTCACGTGTACAGTTCCGTTGACTGGGTCAGATTTTACCGAGTAGCTCAGAGAAGCATTTGGCCCCGTACATTGATTGCCTTGTTATTCTATAGCATTAAATAAAGTGCATTATCATGACAAATGTAAGGTAGAACTAAAGGTCACTTCTCTTTAAGATGACTGAGAGTAAATCTAATAGTTTAAGATGCTATTGACAACAGCAGGATTTTTGCCTAAGAAGAATTAAAAACTGAAGGGGCATTTCAGTGTCAGGTTCATAGTCTTTCCAAAGGTAAAGATCAGTTGGAAAAGAGTACCTTGAGTTTCAGAAATATCAAAGGAAAGTTGAAGTGAAATGACTATAGGTAAATGCACTTCTATAACAAAATGCAATACATTTTGGCACATTTTATTAATGTTTATAATTTCAGCAAAGATGTCTGTATTTTATCAGTTCATGGAAGAAGTACCTGTCATTAAATTGAATGTATTTGTTTTACAGCATCATTTTTACTCCTCTGTTTTTCTAACCTGTGCTAATGGGGTTGAATGTGTACAATGTAAATAAGTTAATAAGAAGCAGGAGTCTTCATGCACCTAGAGTATTACTATAACAAAAGTGGTATATCTGGGATAGCTGAGAGCAATTGACTGATTTACAGTTATTGGCAATTCCTAGAAGTGGTATTTTGTAAAGAAAATTTATTGCCTTTGTAGTAAAATTTTCAGTGCAATTAAACTGTTTTGGTTTGTTTTTCCTGGTTTAAAAAATAGTATTTAAAATGTTTCTGACTTCTATTGTTCAATTTGCACATAGCTTTATTGACTTCTAAACATTAATAAACTGATTTTTTTAAAGATTCCGTTATCAAGTTACTAGTAGTTTTATGCTGTTGTGGGCTTTTATGCCAGGTGTGGCTTCTTGTTGACAGAAGTCAGTGAAAGAATTACTTGATTTCAGTACATGCTGGGATTAAGCCAGTTCTGTGGGGATGTAAGATGCATAATGCCATTTACAGCATCATGTAAAATAAAAAATGAACACTAGAATATAATTTTTTCATCAGCACATGCTGTATTGATGAAATGCCATTAGGAGAATCTCTGCAGTAGCAATTCTTCTCCAACAGCTAATGAAGTACAAACAGAAGAAAAAACAGATGCCTGCTAGTTTTACCATGACTGCTTAGAATAGAGTGAAATATAAATCACTTATATCACTAATATAATTAATAAATCTAATTCTTAGCTGATTGCAAACATCAAGAAAGTTTCTGAGATGTAAAATGGTGGCCTCAGATATGTAACTGCTGCAGCTCTGTCGGGTCCACCAGCAGAGACCATGGCAGTGTAGCTGAATCGGTGCTGTGTTACTTCTTCCAGAGGCTTGACTTCCATTTCCTCTCTTGTGGCCATTCCCTCTCAGTATTACTTTTAAGTTCCGTGGAGCTCATACAGGATGCAGTTGGAGTGTGAAGATAAACCTCACCTTCTCATACTGTATGTCATCGCCATGCGAGGTTTACTGTGGGAAACGAGAGCCTACTCACCGAGGAAGGCTCTGGGTCATAACCTCACTTCCTGAAGGAAATTCCAAAAATGCCCCAAAGACAAAAGAGTGGAAACAGGCTGGAATTTCTCTCCATCTGTCTGCCTGTAAGGAAGGAATGATTTCATGTGTGCTCACTTCCTAGGCTTTTAATTAGTGACCTGATCAGGGCTGGAAAAAATGTAAAATCTGTATTTGCGCACAAGATAAAGTCTCTCTTGGCTCAGGCCTTCATTTGGGCAGGGATGGTTTACGCTGGGTGCTGACAGTCATGAGGGAAAGCATGGCTTTGTCCCAGGGATAAAGTCACTTCTGTGCAGAGCACCAAAAGTATATAAACCATGAAAGTCCAAGTTAAACCCTCAGTGTGCTACCAGTGAGTAAATAAAGGCAATGTATGGAGACAGGGCAATGTATGGGGACGTCTGAATTTGTAGGGCTGTTTTTATCCAAAGGACGAGGGCCCCTCCACTCTTGAAGTCTTACGGGCATTAAGGTTGCTTGTCCCACACGGGTCTGAGATCCTGTGACAGGGGACAAGCTATGTCACAGCATGGCTGTGTCACTGGCCCCTCGTGACTACCACTGGCCTTTCTGTATTTGTAGCTGATAGCCCCCAGGTGAGTCACTTCCCTTCGCTTTGCCTTTGTTTCTGTATCTCTCACTTATCTATCTCATCTAACTGCACTTCTGGCCTTTGCAGAAAATGACTGTTTCCCTGTGGAGGGGACTATGTGATGGGAGCCCAGTTTTGGTAGGGAACTCGAAGTCCTACGTAATTCACACAATAAAAGAAATGCAAACACCAGAGTGTGGCACTGGGCCATGGGAAGCATTTCCTATGCTCTTGATCATGTTGACTGAAATCTGTTTCCTCCATAGACAGGCTGCATCTATGCATGTAGGCAAGACTCAGGCAACAATAACTGTAATAAAATAACAATAATAAGTGTAAGGGTTCCTGCTGGGGAAAAAATAAAAAAATGGGCAATTGGTATGGCTCTTCCTACGGGGAAACTCTGCAGCTCCTTGGCCACAGACATTCACTACCCTACCCCAGCAGGTTAGGCCAGATGCGTAGTGCACAGCTTTGAAGTGTGCGGTGTAGAAAGCACCCTTCCCAGGCCCCAGACTGCTTTCTGTATGCACTGAGAGGGCATGCGGCTTTGTCCTGCTGTTGGCCATGTGACAAAGGGGCAGAGAAAATGAACTGAGAACTGAAAAGGTGCATTATACCAAATGTCTATGTGAAAGAAAACAGCCTGAATTACCTGCAGTAACCTGGCCCCTTGATTTATACTTTTTTCCCTAGCTGTTCTTCCAGTGTAATGAATAGAACAGGAATGGAAAATGATCATAAAATCTGTCTGTTGCTCCCCTGGCAACTCCCTGACTAGGTAGGCCTGCATGAGACCCAGGTATAGCACGGTATGTATCAAGGAACAGAGGGGCTGCAGCCAGAATGCCCCACAGACAGCTCAGCAGGAAAAACCCTTGATCTTGCTGAACAATGCAGGCAGCCAGGACCCAAACTAGGGGACATAAAAATGTAAAAATACTGTTATCCATCCTTTTCATACTCTGTCAACTAAGAAATATAGGGATTGCCCAACAGTAACATTTCCTAATTCCTAATTTGGCCTGGAAGATCTGATTGCATTTTGTATGGGCTGAGGCATTATCAGATGTTGTAAAAATGGTCAGACTGACAAAGCATCCAAAAATGCAGATATGTAGACCAGAGCTATGTAACCTACACAGCTCTGAAATGCTGGAAATTCCCCAAGGACAGGCTTTGTCATTTATGGAGTTCTGAAATTCCCCGGGAAAATGTCTATTTATTTCAATAATTCCCCATACTGTTTTTCTTGGAAAACGAGATTAATCCAACTACAACTGAACCTTCAAGGATTTAAGAAACAAATGACAAAATCCATCTAAATTCAATTCCTATAGCCTGCTTTCACAAACTTTTCTAATCCCATCTTTGCATTTACAGATGGAAAGGGTTTACTCATTCACTGTCATCTAATTTATTCTGATAGAACCTTACTTTTTACATAGTCTGCAAGAATCACATAGGGTCAAGAAATCTCCCTTCAATTATTAATCTATGTGCAGTGGTTATTATGATAATTAACAGTATCGAAGTCACTCTGCACACAGGAGCCAGACATAAGAAGATGTGGTACAGCTAAATTGTTCCAGTACAAGTTTTATGCTGAATTTAGATGTGCCTAGAGTGATCTGAAACTCAAGCATCTAATGTCAATTAAGATATTAACAAAAAAAAATGTGGTTTAACAATATTTTTTTTTAAGTGGGGAACATAATTAGTGTAGACTTATGTGATCTGCTGAAGAGAATTACAATGTTAAGGACCCTCTCCCCCGCAGGAACATGGTGACGCATTCCTTGTGTCTCCCCTACTCATCCACAAATTCTGCGACATGCTGCAGCAAAGCAGCAGTTTCCACACAAACCCTCCCAAGCAACGCTCTGCGCATGGCCAGATGTCTTACCCTACCAAAGAATCTTATATGGGAGTGAAGCAAGAACCATTTCCTTGCACTCGGAACCTCCGCGCTCCCTTCACAGGACAAAAAGGCAGGAAATCCCATCAGCCACACCCAGGAATGCTCCTGCATGGAAAAGTCCTAATAAAGCAGAGCTGACAAAGCTCCATCAACCCTCTCTGAAACTTCCACCAAGCCTGGTTTAGTAGTCGAATAATGGAAACCTGATACAAAGGCCAATATTTATTTTGAGCTTTTGTGAATGATTGTTTGAAGAAGATACATTTTTAAGTACATGATACAATAGCTACACATCAAAATGGGTCACTGGAAATGCATGTGACCAAAGCCACTTTAAATATGACTATGTGTATGTAGCATTCAGGACCACTCTTCTCAGCTAAAAGTGGATTCAAAATACAGACTGCATAATTTTTGGTAACTAATGAACATTTTGAAAAGACAGGACAGAAGGAAATTGCTGAATAAATAATGGGTTAAAATTATCTGCTAGGCTCCATGAAATCATTGATGAAAGCAGTATCACTACCTGAGAAAAATCTGTGGTTTGAATCATAGCTGGCAGCTGACACTTTCTGGTGCTGACCTGAGCTGTCTGCTAAAGGTAGTTTTGCTCTCTTAAACAGAGATATGCTTAGCGTAAGCCAAGACTTCTTGATTTAGCAGGACACTGTTACAAATTGTTGGAATACTGTCTCAGGCAAATTCTTGCCCATATTAAGCACCTACAGTTGTATAATGTGAAGGTGGGGACATGAATTTCTGTAAGCAATAGAATTTATATGGTTACAGAGAAAGTGCAGTAACAGTTTTCATGATGTAAAAATTGGATTTGATGCAAGATTGTGATTGAGAGTGCACTGGAGAGCAAGTTTCAGGGACAATTTGGGATTGGGGGGGGGGTTGGATTTCAGTGATATTTTCCACTTGAAATGAAGGAAAGTAATCTCTCTGGTAATGCAGACACAAAGCTGAGGATTTTCACCTGTGAACTCTACCCTTAGATCTGCAATTCTTTTCTGAGCAACTCTGGGCAAGGTCTCATGAGTTCTCATATTTCCACAAAGATATATACATTTTATATATATATATATATATATATATATATATATATATACACATATA